GATCAGAGGTGAATAACATGCTTATTATTATCTTGATATTTCGTGAAGAGTTAATTTAATGCAGTGGCGGATCAAGGGGATGGACCAGGGGGGCCTGCGCCCCATTAGTTTTAAGGGAGATATAGACCGCCCTCCCTCACTTATCTCAGGTTCTGAATGACCCCTTTCCCCTTATCTAAAGGTCTGGATTCACCACTGCAATGTAAGACAAGAGCTCTTCGCTCGCATTTGAATTAGTGATGTAAAATTTACTTTACAAATCTTAATGACCCTTAGAAATGTCATATTTGTTAACAGTAGATAACCGCAAGCCTGTAAAATTATAGGTAAATTTAGTTATTTTTGCAAAAAGAGGAAATTATAATAATGATAGAATAGAGTAATACGAACTTTAACACGTTCATTCTTAGCCCCAAAGTTTTGTAATTACCCATTCAGCTTTTGTATAATTTCTCATGTGTTCAATATTTTGTTATGGTGATTTTTTGTTGCAATCAAATAAGTACTGTACCTTACCTTGATTGTAAACAGACCAATTCCTCCGTTTGAAGAGGCAATAAAGATTTAGTGTTTCTCTGTTACAAGGATTGACGTTGCCTATATACCTGCATGGCATATCTAAAAAAATCGAGAAGGACGTGATTTGCACACTAACTTTTCGTAATTACCTTAATTTTAGGAGAGAATTAGCAGGTATCAAACGGTTTAATCTTCAGATGGCCACATGCTTACACCGGAGAAGATGACGTTAAACCTCGGCGCGATGCAAGAGCATCAGAAGTATTGTACAAAGTTAATATGGAGCACTCTGTTACACCACGGTCGTTTGATGTGGGGTTCGGGCAAGGGTATCCCAGGGTCTGGTACGTAGCTACAACCTCTATGGGACAATCTATTTGCAGTTCATTGAGGAAAAACCGTAAAGGTCTTTGATAGCAACCGAAAGTGTCAGTTTAGTGTTAATCCCAAAACTGACGATCCTGCTGAGATGTTTGATATTTTCTGATGTCCTCTAATGGTCATACGGATGAGGCGGTGGAAGGGAGAAGTGCTGAACTACCGGTACACTTTCCGAGTGCCACTCTGCCGGAGAGCTTGTATGGTAGTGGCAGACTTAGTGATACATTCATATTTATCGGCAGCGAACTACAGAGGTATGGAAATGAATAAGTTTGTTCGTAGGTTTGATTTCTTCGAGAGTGGAATGATTAAAAAGTGCCTGGGGCGCAGAATGGACTGCTTCTTACGATGGTCGTGTCTTGGTAATACATTTGGGAGACTCAGCCATTGCTGTGTTCATTTATTGATGACGTACAGTAGAGGGACTGTAGACTGCAGATTTAAAACGGGCATCGAAGGCGATTTACGCTCCATACGACTTTCGCCTCGCCCTGTAGGTGAACATGTCGTCTTCGCTGGTCATGCTAAGGAGGGACACCTTTTAACAGGAAACTTATGGGAAGAATTCAGCTGGCTGAACGTCTGGGTCTAACAGGAATTACGGTGACCGGCCCCATAAGGGACACATCGTTGTGGGTTTTACAGAGGGACCTGGCAACAGGAGCCGAACAATTGTCAGATACATAAAAAACTGAGTCCACATCACTGACAGGCTGGAGCATCACATTTAACTTAACAAAAACGCCCATCATTTTTACTGATATACCGATGGGGCCAGAACAGAGTAAGTGACGTACACCAACCCATGGCTCATGATATGCGGCTTTGTTGGTTTATAGGCCTGACCGCTATACCGTGCTGATCCCGAATAAGACCAAAACAGCTTTCCATGGCTGCCACTGCCCGGGTGATATTTTTGTGCGCTTTTACTTGTGGGGCCGTGTGCCCCCTTTTCTTGCTTTTAAAAGTGATGTTACACGAGACGATTCGCAGCGACGATAAGTGCAATACAGAGTTCCAGCATTGTTGCGACATTGTTTCGAATGGTTACAACATTGTTCCAACATTGCAACGTTGTGAAGCGCTAAAAATTGTCGTTGCGAATCGACCCGTGTAACATGCTGTTGAGGAAGAAACACTCACAATAGAACAGACGTGTTTACGCTGAGTACTTTGTTATGACTTTCAAGGACCCAATTAGAATATGACGTAATGTTTTCTGAAACTTTCTATCACAAGATAAGAACTGGATCAACACGTTTTTGTCTTCACGTTGTATAAGCAGTTTCAACATACCACTGTGTCCTCTTTTGTCGTGGATCGATCTGTAACGGGGTTCTCTTAAGTTTCTGGTAGAAATTAAAGTTCAAATTGCGTTTAAGAGACTTGTGGTTGTCACAGAAGTTCAAGTTGAATCTTAACACATGCTACACATCACCTTAACTTAATCTTTTATTTTGAAATATGCTCTTTTAATATTTACTAAACGTTGGACGTTAAATGCGCACTTGTCAGCGCCATTTTCAAAATCCACTTGGAACTTCGTTGCAGAGCTACCGTAAACTTCTGCTTTATTAAGACATAATTTTTAGCCCGTCCCCAAGTTATAGACGCATCTTATGAACAAAAACGTACAACCGGTTATGAGCCCTGGACTCTCTCCTCCGCAGAGGCTTTTTTGTGTTGTGGGGAGGCTGGGGAGAAAGAAAAAGGAAGCGCGAGGAACGATGGGAAGGGGGAAGAGAGAGGAGAGACTCCTGCCTTTACCCTCTTCCCGTCGTTCCCCACGCGCTTTCTATGTTTTTTTTTTTTTGGTTATTGCTATGTTTATAGGGATACCCAGCGGGAGCTTCTGCTGAGGAGAGAGAGCCCTCGAAGTCGGATCATTATGCGTTTCTGGGAAACTGCCCCTGTTAGCTGAACTAAGGGAAAATGAAAGAAAGATTTCCTCATATTCGAGAACAAACTGCAAGCACTTGCTGTGGTGACAAGTACTTTTTCAGCACTCCGTACACCACAAAATGGCATCTTACACATGAAATTTTCATAATTTTACCTGTGTTTTTGTAATTCTTGTGAAATTTGACATTTATTTTCTCGGGCTCCCATTAGAGATAGTCGGTGTTATTACAGATAAGAATTATATTATATATATTATATTGAAAAAAGTAAAAACGGAATGCGATATTGTTTGAATTATTCTGGTTCAAGGTTTTTGTCCACTCAAAGTTGAAATTACTCAATTTCGTGATGGATTCCGTCTTAACATGAGAATCCAGTTTCTAAAGATAGATAGATAGATAGATAGCTTTATTAAAAATCCATTGCAGCCCAAGGGCTGGATTACGGACTGTACAATACGTTGAATACTAAGACTAACTATTATAAATCAATAACAGTAAATAAATAAAACAAAGGAACAAAGATACTACGTCATGAAATTTAAGAAAATAGCCGCGAATTTACAATAAAACCATTAGAAAATAGCCGCGTTATGCATGATAAAACTATTCATTAGTCTATTTGTTCTACAAAGAGGTACGTTAAAAGCGCGCTTTCTCCTTAAGGCTACAGTACTAAGATTACGTGGCGGCAAAAGGCCATGTAATTTGTGGAGGCTGTTGTCCTTAATCTCATTGAATAGGCGCTCTGTCAGCCATTGGCGCCGTTGATGGAGGGTGGAAATATTGCACTCTTTGAGAGCCTCTTGATAGCCTAAATCTGGGAAAATAATTCTAAGTGCACGGCGCTGAATTTTCTCTAGCTCTTCAGAGAGATACTCAGGCAGACCATTGTGGAAAACTTGGCAGGCATATTCAGATATGGGCCGGATACACGTAGTATAGAAACAAAGTAGCTGCGCAGGATCTCCTTTTGCACGCTTAAGCTGCCTTAATAGATATAGCCTAGAGGCTCCTTTTTTGATAACATTCTCTATGTGAGCGTTCCACTTTAGATTGTTTGAAATTGTGAGACCAAGAAGTTTTGCGCTAGTTACAACCTCAATTGGTTTGTTGTTAATAGTAACTGCTTCGAAAGGATCTACAGACCTTGAGAGACTTATCTGCAACTCTTTACACTTGGTCTCATTCAATTGGAACTTATCTATTTCGGCTTGCCTAACTAGGTCGTCTACAGCAAATTGGATTTCACTTGGTTGGCCCTTGTGGACTGTCTCGGCCATCGATGTGTCATCGACGTACTTCCAAAGGTTGACGCCATTGACATTGATGTCATTTTTCATTACCAGGAAGAGCCAGGGCCCCAATTTGGTTCCCCGCGGGACACCTGCCCTGACAGATCCCCAATCCGAGTAGCAATCGTGGGCGAGTTTCACTCGTTGCTTCCTGTCAGTAAGAAAATCTGCAATCCAGTCCAGCACCCAAGGTGGTAGCTCATAGTCAGTAAGTTTAGCCATAAGAATGGCGTGGTCGATGAGATCGAATGCTTCCATTAAATTTGTGTTCACAACCGCAAAATTCTTGTCTGTAAAAGAAGTCAAAGAAGACATGTCTGGTACTATTTAACAAGAAAAAAAAGAGGCACAAGCAAGAACAAGAACAATAAAATTACTGACTAATCATAATAAAACACAAAATAACAAGGGAAAATTTAACTGTTTTTCTTTTCTTTTTTCATAAATATGGGCTAACATTCTACCATCCTACATCCACAAATCCCAGGTTTCATCAACGGATGGTTTACATAAAATATCTCTTCAATCATTTATAAGAAGAGGAAACCTGGCCTAAGATGAGAAATATTATAAACGCACCCCTCTTAGACTAGTTTTTTTCTTCAAATAATCTATGCTTATCAATTCTGACTGGCTTAGGGTTGCGCGTTTGGACTTTTCATAGCTCCCAAGTTTGAGTATTAACTAAATAATAAAGATTTCTCGGTAATCCCCAGCTCAAATCCTCAGTCACGCTTGTAAATAGCCAATTGGGGTTCCTAATCCCGTTATGTTCTATTTGCATCATTTGTTTCAGAATTATTTGAGTGGAGTGCCTGTAAACTAGCTGGATAAGCTAAGTGCACTTTCCACTATAAACAAACCTTTAATTTTTTTTTGGCTCTAATCCTCTGGCTCTTACTAATTAATTTACTGTGTACATTTTCGCTCGCTTGACAAGGTTTAGCTTGTCTCTTAATTGTTCATAGCTTCTCCTGAATATTGGCATTTTTAAACTATAAATGACTGGATTAACAAGAGAATAAGTCAAATGTACCATTGTGGAAAGGTGAGCAACAAAATGAGGAAACAGGCTTGGAAACCATACACTGATATTGTACCATGCAACGCTAGGAAGCCACAAAGCGGCAGATGTACCGATCATGATAAAAAGAGTCTTGGAGAGTTTTGTACTTTGTTCGATGCTTATTCTGCTAAGCTCTGTGTCGATAACGGGAGATCTGTTGTTAATTCTTTTCCTGATGGACAGGTAAGAAACACAAATTGTAATCAAGGAGAAACCAATAATGATCGTTGCAGCAACTGCAAAATACTTCACTTGGTATTTTTTAACTACAGCAAGGAAACTGAATACACCTATAGTTATCCCAGCTAGCCACGCTATAACCACACTATAGGTGTAGACCTCTCTGCTTGTTACACGATGTCGAAGCGGCCAAATCAAAGCAAAAGCTCGTTCCAGGGAAATCAGCACGAGAAAAAACACAGATGCACACGAGAAAGAGGCTACAAAAGGGGCTACAATGCTACCTTTCATCTCGGTAATAGTTTCGTTTGAGCCGATATGTGTTGGAAGAGCAAATGCTCCGACCTCTACAGTATCTGTGAATCCAACAAGGAGATCTGCCACAGCCAAGTTAATAACAAGAAAGCTTGTTCCCTTCAGTTTACTTTGATGGACCGAGAAAACAAACATGGTGAAAGCGTTAGAAATACAAACGATGATAGACAGAAAAGCGAGAAGGATTAAGACTGCAATGGAAGCAGTATCAACAGACATTTCGACATACATGTGGATAACGTTCAAAAATTATCTGAAGTTTAAATAATAGCATTTGAAACAGAACTTCCAGACCTTCTGGAGAATATTCTGTATATAGCCCTCTACATGTTGCTCTACATGCCCTCTGTTGTCTGATTTTATAGTTTTGGTGATCGCTTTCTTTGCAGTGCCCTGCTACCTGGGGTGAAATAGTTCCTTATATAAGCACACCTTCACCCAAAAAGAGTTTCAATAAGCACAGGAGATGTATTATTTAACAACCACTCAGTTGTATATGAAAGACTGAATGACATATCTCAAAGCAAGACAAAAGCCCAAGGGATGATTTGAACGCATTTTGCTTTGCCTAAATGCGTTTACAATGTTTGAAAAATCTAGCATGGCTTTTAAGGTTTACAATAAATATGCTAAGTAACATAATTTCTGCTGAAATTAAAAGTTGTGAAACCGTGTAATAACAAAAAATTAAATAAACAGCAGAGACTACTAAATGTGCGTTGACATTTTTTAACCAAAGAACCTATAGTTTCCAAGAGATATCTACCTTTGAACATAAAAGAAAAAATCTGCCCATAAAATGATACATCATGTTAAAATGATCAGGAAAAGAGTGAAGTTTTATTTTCCTAAAAATGGGTATTGTTTTCTGCTCATTAATCGATTCAAAAGATTTCATGACTGATATGAAATTAACTTGCTGTTAGAGGATAATTGAATTTCATTGTATTTAAGATGAAATCCATCAGGAAATTGAGTAGTTTTAATTTTCAGTGGACAAACACCTTGTACCTGAATAATCTCAAGCATATTGCTTTTTTTTCACACTTTTCAAGGGCTATTAATGCAATTATAAGTTGTATAAAAGATCTCCGAAGAAGAGGTTCTTTAGATTGGATCCCGAGAAAACGTAAAACAAACTTCAAAAGCCTCACATTTTGCAAAATGAAGAGTTATTAGCAATGCCGAATTTACCTGTACTGTGTTTTCTCAATTGCTATGAAATTTGAAATTCATTTTCTCAAGCTCCCGTTAGAAATTCTCTTTGGTGGTTTTACAGATAACTAATTTCATCTATAGCCCTTGACAAGTGTAAAAAAGAATGTGGTATGGCTTATTTTTCTTTTTTCTGGTGCTAGGCTTTTGTCCACTGAAGGTTGACACAACTCAATTTCCTACTGGATTTCTTCTCAATATCTTCTCAGTATTTTTGAACCCGTGTTAATAATATATTTTACCATGACATATCCGCAACTTTTATTTATTTTAGGTTTTAACCATAGTTTGTTCCCATAATATTTCCTTAATTTTTAATAGAAAAGGGGGATTTTTTTAACCTTTTTGCCGCTTTCTGAATAAAACGCTTACTTTAAAACTACATTGTAAGAAGATCGGGGGCAGATGAGTAAGGGTGAGACAAGAAATTAAAAAGCGATTTTGTTTTATTGCGCATCATTCTTGGTTATTTTGTTAAACGCTATAAATATAAGTAGATATTTCCCTTTTAATTTCGTTCAAACAATGTTAGCCTTTTACTTCGGCTTGAATCCTACTGCTATTATTTTTCAAAAAGGTATGAGTCAATCTCTGATCCCCAAAATAGTATTAAAATATTGTGAAGTCTAAATGCTGCGGCGGCACTGCCGATCAAAATGTTGACAGTCAAATTTTAGACAAAAATCTCAAGCGGTTCATAAAGAGAAAAGAAAACAATGGGACTTAAAAAATTCGAGAAAACTTAAAAGATACTTTAAGCATCATCTCCTGCTTTTATATTACAAATGAAATGAAGAAAATCCTGTCGCCTTCATTTTACGCCGAACTTTTCATGAGCCAAAAGCTAACTCGAAATAAGGCCGACCCAAATTATTTAGATCAGCTGAATTGATTCAGGCGCCGATCTTAATTACAGCTGAACTAGCTTTATAGTGAATTCAGTAAAAGGCAAAACTACAGTGTACAAAATACGATTTAATAATTTATGCATCAGGTTTGGTACATGAAAAGTTCTGCTTTCTAAATCAAAGCCGTTCCAAAGTCGCTCCAAAGGCGAAATTCCTGGCCGGGCAAGGCGAAAAGAACGGCTGAACCGTGTGAAATTGAAATAGGTGTTCCTATTATTCAGACGCCGAACTTGTCATGTACTTCCTTATTAGGTTCGGTTCCTGAAAAGTTCGACCTGAACCCGGGGCCCAGATTTCATTTTTCAAGTGTCGAGCTCAGATTACAAAGCTTGGTCACTACAATGTATATTTCTTTTATGTTACGTAGGCTCTATAAAAATATCCTCAATTAACTATGTATTTTTTCCGCTGCTTTCGAATTTTTACAAGTCTAAATCGTCTAAGACTTCGTCTGAACATTGGCATTCTCAGACTGTAAATCACTGGATTTACGACGGAATTGCACATATGAATTATGATTAACAAATATTTCACAAATTTAGGAAACATTCCTGGAGGGAAATTAAGACAAGAAAATAAAACAAGGCTTGGAACCCAAAAGGCAGCAGATGCTCCCGTCATAAGGAACAAAGTTTTGGAAAGTTTCCTTGTGTTTTGCTCAACCATTTTGCGCTGATGTGCTGTTTCGATTGTAGGGTCACTGCGTTTAAGTTTTTTTCGGATTGCTATGTATGATGTGCACATCGTTGCCAGTGATAAGACGATTACGATTGAAAATGTGAGGATATAGTGAGAAATCTCAAAGATTCCGTAGCTAACCAGCCAGGTTAATGAACCCAAAGAAACACCTGCTAACCAAGCGGCGACGACACCGTAGATGAACGTCTTCGTGCTTGTTGTTCGATGAAGAAGCGGCCAAATTAAAGCAAATGCACGTTCCAGAGAAATAAGAACCAGAGAGAACATGGATGTACTTAAAAATGTAACATGAAATTGAATTACAAGATAGTCATAAGTCTTGACATTAAGTTTAGATTTTCTAATGTAACTAGGAAGTGCTAACACCGTCAAATGTGGTGTCATGTATGCGAATCCAACGAGAAGATCGGCCACGGCCAAATTGATAAGAAGTAAGTAAGTAAGTTCGTCTTAGTTTGTTTCGGTGAATCCAAAACACAGCTACGGTCAGAAAATTAGCAGCAAAAACGATGAGAGATTGAAGAGTGGAAACACAAAGGGAAGCAATGGTTGCTGTTTGTTCTGACATTAGTATACTGCTGCTCTTGCTGCTGCTGTAGATTGAAGCCTTCGTTAACTTAGTGACGTTTTAGCTCCGTGCACTGTTTAACCGTACCCTGATTGCGAGAATCGAGCGAGACGATTCTTCGTTATGCGAAAGCCTGTGCTGTGATACAGATTGGTGGCACTAATACATCCACGATTGATGGTTTTCTGTCGTTAAATACCAAAATAACTGACAAGTAAAAATCTTCCAATATTTTATCTTAAATCCTGATTTCTGATTGGCTGAAGCTCTCGCCATCACAGACAGACATCTGGGACATACAGTTTCTTACAGAGCATAACCCTTTCCTAGCATCGTCCTAATATGTCAAAGGTCTAATGGAATCTTAAGTCGACTTGTATATTGAATTAGATCATTTTTATCTTTATTACTATTTATGAAACTTTTTTATTCTTCGTAATGACAATTTGTGAGCTTTTACTGAACGTTCTGAGTCGAAGCCAGTTTGTGGCTGAAAAGCAAATGCCTAATAACGGTCAAAATAAAGTACTAAAGTACTGCAACGTTTAGATAAACCACTGAGATATATATAGAAAAAGGAACAGCAATTTTGGTTTAAGATTCATTTACATATCACATTTAAAAACAAACCTTGAGAATAATTTGAAATCGGTGAACTCAGGGTTCCCTAGATGGCTAACACTTATTCGTATAACATGTATACAGTGATTGGTGCATGGATTCAAAACGTTTGAATCACTTAAAACTGTTGAGTGAGATCCAGGGTAGATAATGAAATTGAGGCTTTCGACTGGAGTAGTCATTATTTTTTCAATCTATTTCATGTTCCCTGTCAAGTTGCCCTTATTTTAAGCTAATGGTCCAAAAAAGCGGGGTACATTGTTTTTGGTAGCATATTTTGGTAGCACAGTGAATGGTTTGAACCCAGGAGTCATTTTATAAGTATAGAAAACAGCCGCGGAATAAGAACCGCACCTCAAACGTTTAGCTGTATAGCCCACTGAGAAAAAAAGAAAAGAAACGAACAGCAATTTTAGTTTAAGATTCAATTACATATCACTTTTCAAAACAAGCCTTGAGAATAATTTGAAATCGGTGAACTCAGAGTTCCCTTGATGGCTTACACTATATATGTATACAGTGATTGATGGATTCAAAACATTTGACGCTAGTGCATGATATCCAGGGTAGGTAATGAATTTGAAGGCTTTCGATTGGAGTGCTCATTATTTTTTCAATTAATTTCATGTTACCTATCAAGTTGCCAAGCAAAACACCTGGTTTGTAAGTAAATTTCTTTTGAGTATAGTAAGCAAATTGCAGTTTTTTATCTTTTAAATGGAACGAAGTCAATGGCCTCATATCTTCACTTAGCCGAAAATTCAATTAAAAGTTTTAGTAATTATATTGAATCTTACCCAATAAAATGTGATGATATTTGAAAGAAAAGTTTGTAAGACAAAAAAAAATTTTCTTTTTGAGGAGAATGTTTAACCAGTTCTGGTACAATTGGACCTCAAACAAACCAGAATAAATCATAGGAAATCTCCATGCTATAATATAGCGCCATTTTTCCTTTCGGCCAAGGCACGCAGATCACCACGCAATGAGTAACTTGGTTGTAAAAGAGACTCTGACATCGGAAGTAACGTACGGCATCGACGTCCCATCAGGCGCTGTGCCAGGCTGGTATCCATTCCCTCAGGAGGCGTATTTCGCCAGTCAAGAAGAGCTTCAAATTCTGACATACAGGTTTCTTTGCATTTCTCAAACAGACGCTTCACTGTCCGCACAGCATTTTCGGCTTTTCCATTTGACTGAGGGTAGCGAGGCGATGTAGTGACATAATTGAAAGACCATCACCTAGTAAATACTTGAAACTCGTTAGACGAAAACTATGGCCCATTATCTGTCACAAGGATCTCAGAAATACCAAGACGCGCAAACATGGTCTTCAACTGGCGAACAACAGCTTGAGTTGAGGTAGCGGAGAGACGCGCCACTTCGATGTAGTTGCTAAAATGACCAGTAACAACCAACAGGGTCCGCCCAGGCAGTTCACACAAGTCAGCGGTTAGCTTGGCACATGGTCTTGCGATTACTTCGTATTGAAGGAGCGGTTCCTTAGTCAGGGAGGTACGATGAGCCAAACACACGTCACATTTGGAAACATAGTCTTTGACATCAGACGCCATTCTAGGCGAAAAAAGACATTCTCGGGCCCTCCTGAATAGCCTTTGATACCAATATGGGTCGCATGAACCACTGATATAAGTTCCTTGCGAATACTGGGCGAAACAACCAAACGCCGGCCCTTGAAAATTAAATCACCTTGAACAACCAAGTCATCACGCAGGTGAGAATAGGGTCGAAGACACAGGGGAACGTCTGACTTTCTCTCAGGGACTTCTTTCATTCTAAGCTGCAACTTGTTCTTGTTCAAATGAACTCCACGCTCATCACATTTCTCGAGAAACGCAAGAAGATTCCCGTAATGGTCTTTAATTGCAGAATGCGACGATTCACCGTACCCAAAACAACAAAATCATTCGCTATGACCTCAAGACCCCTCGATCCTTCAACCAACTCATTCATTTTACTCCGAAACACTTCAGGTGCAGGTCTGATCCCAAACGGCATCCTTTTTTAACAGTATCTTCCAAATGGCGTATTAAACTTAGTACAGAACGAACACTCTTCATCCTGAACAACATGCCAGAAGCCATTGGAAACATCAAGGGACGTGAAACTTTTGTTCCGTGAAGACGGGAAGCTACTTCTTCAATCGTAGGCAAAGGATAGTTTTCCCGATGCAAAGCACGATTTAGATCCATCGGATCCAAACAAATGCGTAATTTGCCATTCTTCTTTGGTACAACAACCATCGAGCTGATCCAAGGGGTGGGCGTTGTCACGCGAGCAATAATTTCACGCTTCTCTTCCAGTGTCTCTCTAAGACGTTCGCGGATCGCGACTGGAACTCTGCGAGGAGGTTGTTGAACTGGCCTAACCGACTCATCCAGCACCATGTGATATTCGCCTGCAAGAACACCTACGCCATCAGCAAAGACACGACGAAACCTCTTAAACAACAGCTGGTCAGCGGCGACCGGGGAAGTAGCCGGGACATCATGTGTATAAACTTCACTATCGGGCGCCTGCGGTCGGTTTAACTGGTCGTTGTCTAGACACTTAATAATGTTCACTCTAGGGCACTCTTTCCTGCCCAGAACTGGTCTGACTCTCCTGCTTTTAATCAAATTGCGGTCAAGCAGACATCTGTAATCTCCACGCCATACACGCAATCAAACTTTCCCGAGGATAGGAATTGAAGTACCACCATTAGAAATGAACGCCGCATTGACAGGGGTCACATTGCGCAAATCAAAATCTTTGGTCGCCTTCTTGTACAGGGACAACATTGCACTGAGCTCCTGTGTCGTGCTGAAACTGAAGATAATTTCCAAATTCCAACTTCAGTGTTACCAGTTGAGAATCATCTAAGGTTACTGCAGAAATTTCGGCCACACCAAAAACTTCATCCGGCAGCTCATACTTGAAACAATTAACAAGATGCGAGCGATACCTGGGCTTAGGCACGTGCCCAAAACACATATTTGCGAAATAATTTTTCTTGCCACACTTTTTGTAGCTCTTTCCATAACCCGGACAATTCTCACACTTCGCTAAATCATGCTCACGTCCGCAAAATTCACAGCTATTTTCCCGCTTGCCAGCATTTCTCGAGCCACGACCGCGCCTACGTCTCCCTCCTTTAGCCCCTAGTTTTTCGCATCTGCAACGCTTAAACCGACATCACAGACATCCTTTCATCTGCAGTACCATGGTCTCATGAAAGCGACAAATCTCATCCGTTTTCTCTAACGACAAATTCTTTTTAAGACGCTTCTCACGAACCTTTGAATCTCGAATTTCAAAAGCAAGACCTTCTCCCGTAAAATCTGATTCGGAGTAATCGATTCAAATTCGCACCTTTCTGCTAACTGCCGAAGAACTGTCCGATAATGATATTAAGACTCTCCCGATTCTTGCATTCTAGAATAAAAGTTGTATCTTTCAAAAGGCACGTTTTTAAGTGGCTGATAGTACGCTGCAAACCTTTATAGCACTGGCTGGATCTTATTTTGGTCGGTATCACTCGCCCAATTCGTAAACGTAGCGAAAACTTTTCGCGCTTCAGTCCGATTAGGGCAAGCAATGTTGCTAGCAGTGTGTACGGCTTCGGGTTTCTGGTGCAAATTCATGGCAATCGAGTAATTCTTCCAAGCTTGCTCAGACTCTTTCCAGTTTCCTGCTGCGTTCAAATCATGAATATCATGCGGTGGAGGTGGCGGTAAAGCAAACAAAAGAACCTCTCACAGTATCTACCGACGAATTCTGCGATGCAACGGCCCCTTCGTGCCTTCGCCACCCAGCATCACAAGAAAAAAAGGTAAAACACGTAGGTTCGGTACAAGATTCCTGACACCATGAAACACTTGTGGGAGACCCCTACGAGGGAAATATGCTCACTTTAATAAATCAAGAAACCTTATGTATAGCCTGCTTAAATATTCACATGTCATTGCCATATTACGTAACACTAATCTTAACAACAAACAGCAATTTACACTTATCGTCACAGTTATTGGCAATTTAGTCTTAATTTTTATGAAGGAGTGTAATAAATTGTTGATTAGCCGCAAATAACAAACTTGGGTTTGGTCCTTTAAAATACTGTATTTATTCGTAATTGCATTATCATTACCGTACAAATACCAACTTTATAAACAGTTTGGTAAAGTAGCTTCTTGTTGTACTTAAATTTACAATCTCACTTACGTTAATTGCTTATCATAATTTAACTGTAACCCACATATAAGGATCTGCTTGCTTTTGCTTGGCTAAACCGTCTCTTGTATTTTTGGCTCTTAATCCACTAAGTTCTTCCTCGCCGGTGTATACTGTATTCTTCCGGGTGAGCGTAGTCCCGAATAGGACTGCCGTCGACAGTGGCTGATGTTTCGTCAACCTGTGCTGTAGCTATCTTCAGGGTCCAAGAGATCGAGTTTTATCTCGTCAGTTAAGGGTATCAAGTGTCGCGATGTTATTGGACGTCTGTAAGTGAGGCCGTGATGCCATTGGCTGTGAAGCGGTGCATTAGTTGTATAGTGGGGATGTTTTCGCCCTTGTTTGTAAGGTTCGATGTAATACTTGTGTGACATATTTGTTGACACGTAGCTGTGATTTTGTCATTCATAAGTAATTTCTAACATTCCATAGGGAATTTGCGTGGTGGCGTCATGTTACTACTGAAAAAGTACATTACTAACATCTATAACCTTTTCTCGTTATTTTAGAAAAAAATGTTGTTTTCTCAACAATTCAGTCATTTCGCTCTTCCCCAAATTTCTTACTTCCACTACTACCACAACCACCAACACCCCCACCACTACCACCACGACATTTCTATTGTTTTCTTTTCGCCACTACCACTACCAACACCCCCGACCACCACCACATTTGTATTGTCTTCTCGCCACCACTACCGCCACTCCACCACCACCACCTCATTTTTACTGTTTTCATGTTTTCATTTCACTACTAACCGACCTTCTCACTACCACCAAAGTTTTTTATTTTCCCTCCACCACTACCACCTTCTATTGTTTTTCCCTCCAGAACCTCTACTACATTTCTACTGTTTTTCATTTGTGTTTTTGGATCGATTTAAGGTCCATGTAAACGAATGTGACACAATTTTTTCAAAGCGGTATTTAATTTCACGAACGTTATAAACAACAGAGTAAGAAATGTAGGACTGTTAAGGAAGTCAATCTGCAAGAGCATAATTAACTTTCTTAATGAAATTATGAATGTATTATCAACTGCAGACTACAAAGACAAAAGGACATAAGTGTTCAGACACTTCTTTAAAAATAAATGGCCCCTTTTTGAACAGTGCACAATGAACCCTTTTTGAAATTGATGAGCGCTAATACAATCTTTGTCTCTGCGACATTTTTCGATCTCCAGTATGGAACCTTCAAGTTATTTATAAGTTCTTGCAAAATGGTGGCATTCTTAAACTATATTTTATTATTGGATTAATAAGAGAATTGATTAGGTGAAACATACAAAAAATCTAATTCACAATTAAAGCCACTACTTGAGACTGACCAGTTGCACAATGCCATGCTTGGAGCCCAAAGTGTCACAGAACTGCACCTATTACAATGAAAAAGGTCTTTATGAGTTTTGTGTTTTCTTCTACGTTTTTTTGATGGTTTCCCTTGTCTAAAGCAGCATTTCTATTGCAAGAGCGTTTTCGGATCGAAAGATACAAAAAGCAAATCAAGAGTAAAGACAGACAAATGAGGACAGAGTAGGCGACAATGTTATATTTCAAGTCGAAGATCCCGTATATCGGTAGTAATTTCAGAGCACCCAGAGAGATTCCAACCAACCAAACCAATGTGGCGATAAATCCAGAAAGAAAAGAGAAAAAAAACAGTGAAAGCATTTGCAGTAAATATGAGCAATAACACACTGAAGAATGACGCTTAAAATCGCCTTACTAATTGTATCAGCCTGATAATACATTAAATATAAGTTTAAGGTGTTTTACATGCAGAGAAAAGATCGAGCTTTGCAGACCCTCTAGACAACTAGAGTATCTGCTGAGTTGTTAACTGGTTTTAGCTGAGCCGCGTTTTCAGAAGCCAATAGCGATCCCCTCATTAAAGGGATAAAACGTATACGGACTGGGCCTACGGCTACCTGTAGTAATTGCCTCTTATTAGCCGAGTTTTCAGTCTATACTGTAAATTACGGACCGAGTTTTTGTCCCATCGATTTATGGCCCAAGCGCGAAGCGCGCGGACCATAAATCGATAGAAAAAAACGAGGATCCGTAATTTACAGTACGGACCGAAAAAGCGAGGCTAATAAGATGTTTATTATATGGCTTCTTCCTGCTTGGGGGAACGGAAATAAGTGCAGGACGCACAATTTGACAGTCATTTGACAGGTGTCAAAAAAGACAGTTTTTATTGGCGCACGAAAACAATAGGACATAACAAAGGCTTTCCGAGAAAGTAAAAACAAATTCGCCATGTTGAAAAGGTTTATTAGGTCAAAACTAAGAGCACTGTGAGCTTTAGCTCTTTAATGTAACGCTGAAGTATTTTGGAAACCGGACACTGTGTCTGTCCTGAAGTCGTTTCCATCTTTCCTCCGTTTGTCCTTGTAAAAAAAACACTGCAAAAGGCAAAGAAGCTTTTCAAGGTAAGTTTGCTGTCATTGTTGAAGAATTCGTTAATTCTTTTGGGAAAACCTCTCTTTCTGCCAGTTCATTCTCGTCTTCAATTGTGATCTGCGTTAAAATTTTCAAACACTGACTAGAATTCTCTGCCTCGGTAAGGTTACGATTCAGTTTCTACATCAGCTTCGTTCTCATTAAAACAAAGCTAGGTTAAAATTTGGAAAGGCAAAGTCAACATCCCAGTCCTCAGGATTTACAGACATATTTTAACGTTTATTCTGTCAAAACTAAGAGCACTGTAAGAACTCACTCGTTAATGTGACGCTGGAGTCTTTTGAAAACTGGACATTGTGTCTGGCTCGAACTCTCTTCTATCTTTCTTTCGTTGGCCTTTAAAAAAGCACTGCAAATGGCAAAGAAGCTTGTCAAGATGATCGGGTGCAGGTATGTTTGCTATCATATTTGTCGAAGAAATTACTCATTTTCTATTGGGCAAAACATCTAGAATCTCTGCCAGTCGATTTTCGTCTTCTTAACTGTGTGCTACGATAAAATTTTCAAACACTGACTAGAGTCCTCTTGGATAAGTTTACGAGTCAGTTTCTTCATCGTCTTCGTCCACAAATAAACACAGTTAAAAATGTTGAAGGCCAAAGTCAACATCCAAGTCCTAAAGGTTGACAGGCGTCTTATAACTTTATTTAAACCTTTTTTGCGCGGTAAAGAGATTTAGAGCTCCGAAATGAGCATTTTCTTTAAAAATTTTGGTTTGTATAGCAAGTTACGGACCGCAAATTGACCAATCGCATGGCGAAAACAGACTCATAAAATAATAAAATGGTAATAATATCTATGAAAAATAGAAGATAAATTATTAATTTAACAGTGCTATGAATTGAACCAAAAGAAAGGTAATAGATTAGGTCTTAGCTTTAATTAAGAATGATGAATGCATACAATGTGTTTACAAGAATCGCGCACAGATGACTCTGTTAAAAGTATATTAAAACTTTGAACTCAACTGTTAAAAAAAAGTTAATTACGTTTATGTTAATTACACATATCTTGTTACAAATAAAGGGTCTGAGATGTTGAGAGTAGCGTCTGTCCTTCTTTGTTAAAAAAGGAAAAATTAAGGAAAAATTAGGCGTTCAAATCTTTGTTTGTAGTTTTATCTTAGGCTCTATAAAAATATCCTCAATTAACTATGTATTTTTTCCGCTGCTTTCGAATTTTTACAAGTCTAAATCGTCTAAGACTTTGTCTGAACATTGGCATTCTCAGACTGTAAATCAATGGATTTACGACGGAATTGCACAGATGAATCATGGTTAACAAATATTTCACAAATTCAGGAAACATTCCTGGAGGGAAATTAAGACAAGAAAATAAAACAAGGCTTGGAACCCAAAAGGCAGCAGATGCTCCTGTCATAAGGAACAAAGTTTTGGAAAGTTTCCTTGTGTTTTGCTCAACCATTTTGCGCTGATGTGTTGTAACGATTGTGGGGTCACTGCGTTTAAGTTTTTTTCGGATTGCTAGGTATGATGTGCACATCGTTGCTAGTGATAAGACGATTACGATTGAAAATGTGAGGATATAGTGAGAAATCTCAAAGATTCCGTAGCTAACCAGCCAGGTTAATGAACCCAATGAAACACCTGCTAACCAAGCGGCGCCGACACCGTAGATGAACGTCTTCGTGCTTGTTGTTCGATGAAGAAGCGGCCAAATCAAAGCAAATGCACGTTCCAGAGAAATAAGAACCAGAAAGAACATCGATGTACTTAAAAATGTAACTTGAAATTGGATTACAAGATAGTCAAAAGTCGTAAAATTAAGTTTAGATTTTCCAGTGTAACTAGGAAGTGCTAACACCGTCAAATGTGGTGTCATGTATGCGAATCCAACGAGAAGATCGGCCACGGCCAAATTGATAAGAAGTAAGTAAGTTCGTCTTAGTTTGTTGCGGTGAATCCAAAACACAGCTATGGTCAGAAAATTAGCAGCGAATACGATGAGAGATTGAAGAGTGGAAACACAAAGGGAAGCAATGGTTGCTGTTTGTTCTGACATTAGTATACTCCTACTCACAGTAGATTGAAGCCTTCGTTAACTTAGTGACGTTTTAGCTCCGTGCACTGTTTAACGGCACCCAGATTGCGAGAACCGAGCGAGAAGATTCTTCGTTATGCGAAAGCCTGTGCTGTGATACAGATTGGTGGCACTAATACATCCACGATTGATGGTTTTCTGTCGTTAAATACCAAGATAACTGGCAAGTCCAATATTTTATCTTAAATCCTGATTTCTGATTGGCTTAAGCTCTCCCCATCACAGACAGTCATCCGGGACATACAGTTTCTTACAGGGCATAACCCTTTTCCTAGCATCGTCCTAATAAGGAAAAGGTCTAATGGAAACTTAAGTCCACTTGTATATGTAACTACATTATTTTTATCTTTATTACTATTTATGAATCTTTTTTATTCTTCGTAATCACTGTTTGTGAGCTTTTACTGAACGTTCAATTGTTGAATATTGGATCTTTGAATCTTTTTTGCAAGACTGTATTTTTTTTATCAAAATAGATATTATATCTGAGGTATTTATAGTTTTAACTTAGGTACCGTTTAGGTTTTAAGGTAGGTTTGCCGTATATCACGTGATTGTAAGCTCTTAGGTGTTACGTGTCTAAATAAACTACTTACCTAAATACTTACTACTCACTTTATATCCTTGGCATCAATGCAGTGTCTTAAAACACCACAAGAGTTCTGAGCTAGTTGTTCTGACCGATCGCAGCTCTCCTCACCGGCATTTTCAAGCGAAATCTTTCTTACATTACACCGCCTGTTGGCCGATCACCCAGTAAAATTTCACATCTTGGACGATCCTGGAACCTTAACCACCCTCCTAGTCCCACCATGACTCCAATTAATTACTAAACCTTTCAAGTAGGAAAGATGACAAAACAGACACGGAATCCCCTATATGCCATTTGGAAATTCAATAGTGTTCATTCACTATCGTATGTTATCTGTGGAAGTAAAGTGAATGAGCCACTAGCAAAGGGGTGACAATAACACCCAGGAAAAATAACAGGTTTTAATTTTTGAAAGGCTTGTTTATTATTATTTACAAATAGAATTTGTAGGATCATTATTTATCTAGTTACAACGGGCAACTATGGAAAATTCAAAGCCAGTTTTGTGATGTGGATGTGGAGGGTTTATACAGAAACTTGTCCCGGTAACTTAACATTTATTCAACTAATTAATTTGACTTGTCGATAAGCGAATTAGATTTTCTCCCTAATCGTGTAACGTTTTGATGGCCTGCAAATCTTCAGCTTATTTGCGAGTTGCTTTAAAGTCTTCTTGAACACTTCTACTCTAAAGCTGTAAATTATTGGGTTCACGGGAGAATTTGTAACATGTAGGAAATTGGTAAGGTAATTCATAAACCCAGGAAGCAAACCGAGCCACAAGTTATTGATGTTGTACAATGTCATGCTTGGAGCCCACAAAGTAACAGACGCGCCTATCACAATAAAGAGAGTCTTGGAGAATTTTGCGCTTTGTTCCACACGCTTTCTACAGTCTGCTTTATTGATAGCAGAATTCCTGTCGTAAAGTCTTTTACGGATTAAGAGATACTACGAGCAAATTACAAATAAAGATAAAAAAGTGATGATAGAGTAGGCGAATAAATATTGTCGAACGTATATGATACCATTCGTGGTTGAGAAACTAAGTGCACCTAATTAAGTCCACCTAGACTCAATCCAGCTAACCATATAATAGCCACGCTGTAGATATAAACCTTTGTGCTTGTTACTCGATGTCGAAGCGGCCAAATCAAGGCGAAGGCTCTTTCCAGTGAAACGAGTACAAGAAAAAAACTAACCCTATGGCTGCGTATTGAACGAAAGACAGTAGATTGTCTATAGATATTAATTACGGTGGCCAAAGCAAGCAGGGCAACAAGTGATAATAATGTCACTTTTCAGTCACCAATGAGTTATAGATGGGTATGGTCCAATTAAAAAGTAGTAAGTTCATTTTAGTTTGCTTAACACAACTTTATATTGCATGGAGAGAATTTGCAGCGAATCTGATTACTGTGATAATATACCGGATGGAGGGAGGACATCCATAGTGCTGCAATAACAGTTTGTTTTGTTTGACTATATTCCTATAAATATAACGATGCTGTGGATAGTAACATTCGTCAATTTGAATCTAATGTAAGTGATTTTCGCTGTACAGTTCAGTGGGTGAGTTATCGAATATTTATTAAAGCGGATAGATGAATCCATGTGTGATTAATATATATTAGCGGGGCTCCCTCGCGCGCGAAGCGCGCGTGGGACAGAGCCCCATACTCATGGAATATGGTCAACCTCTTTTCTTTTGGTTGTCACGTGACTGACCGAGCGTACGTACGTACGTACGTACGCGTCTACAGATTGTACGGGTAGGGTAGGGGAGACTATCAAAAGGAAGGGAGGGGTGTCTCAGGCGTGTCTTAGCAAATCCACATCTTTTACATTGGCCATTCACGATATGGTCAATTGACAGCTGTCTAAACAGGATAGCCACTGACCAGTATCACATTGCCATATCGGGGGCTCATGTGTCAACACATCAAGGTGACGTGAGTTATTTGGAAGCTGTCCGCTGACCAGTTGTTTTACTAGATCGCGATCAATATTCAATCTCATACTTTCTAGCTAGTTTGTGAGCACAGGAAAACTGATAATGCACACATCCATTAGACATCAATGTTTTGATCAATTGACAGCTGTCGAAACAGGGTATCCGCTGACCAGTATCACTTGACCGTATCGCGGGCTCAGGTGTTAACCCATCGAGGTCAAGTATTTTTTGAAGTTATCCGCTGACAAGTTACTAGTTTTCAAATGATCGCAGGCTCAAGTTTGATTTTTTTTTCATTCATATGAAATATGTTTTGTTTTTGATTTAAAACTGACCTCGGACCCGAAAATTCAGCCAGCTATTACAGGCAAGACAGTTGCTTTTGACTTTGCTCACCATGGTCACGCGTTGGTCACGCTCTACGTCCATTTTTTATGCTCTGATTGGTCAAAATTTGACAGGTGAGCTCATGCGGAAAATTTATGCAGCATCTTGAATCTTGTTTACTTTGACAGCTGAAGCTGAGAGAGTTTTGTGTCAACTTGTGATGTTTTTAACTCTCTTTTTTCACTGGATGCACAAAATGAAATTTAGCTGCTATCTGTAGCCTTCTGTTATTCATGGTTAGTTGGTTTTTGGTTGAGAAATTAATACATCACTTGTCAAAGTCGGGAATCCGATTTCGGATGTCAACGTTTTTGTTTTCCACCTTGCTTGATGCGTAAAGGTTGAAAACTCTGAAGCGATACTGGCCTTACTTGATACCTTTCAGGAGCTGCATCTCGAATGGTAAGCCTCAGTAATTATTGTGTTTGATGTTTGTTTTTTATATCTAATTTAAAGAAGTCGAGCGTAGTTTATGCGGCTATGTAGTTTATGCACGTTTGTAAGATTTGAGACAATTTGATCTGACCAAGAATCAGGTAAACTTGATATAAGCTTACACACCTTTAAAAAGTCTTTAGACATTTTCTCACCGCAGATAGAAAGAAAACGTTCCAAAGAACATTTAGTTATAATTCTGACAGTAAAAGAAAGCTTTGAGCGATTTTCTTGCCTCGAGTTCATCTGTGAAAAAAGTAAATACCGGGAAGCCGGTTTTTAAGCTTGAAGACTCAGGATTTTTAGAGACACTTTAATATTTGTCTTCGTGAATGAAAAATGTTGTCTCTGTATATGTTTCGCCGAATTATATTTCCTTTATTGATTTTTGGTAGTCTCTCTTGTAATTTTCATCGCTTTGCCGTTTGTTTTCAGGCGTTCATAAACATCGCTTGCAGGAGTACTCAAAATGCCGCGCGTATCAAACGCTTTTAAAGATTACAGATCGATAAAACCATTAAATAAAAAATAAACATAATAATTTCTTTATTATGTTGGAGCTTAACTCTAGTATGTTCGTTCAAACATTCGCTACAGCTCGCACTGCAAAAGTGAGAACCGGCTGGCTGTATATGTGATTTTGGACATTTTTTTAACGGTTTAGCTAAAAGGCCACGCGTGCTTCGATCGTCCTGAATATTGAATGAGTGCAATTTCTGTTGCAAAATTGTGAAATACTGAATTCTGTCCGAGGTCTGTATGATAAAAACAGTACCTCATAGTACTGTTTCACCTCAGATGTGATGTATAAATGGTATAAAAGGTTGGTTTACACGCAACCAGATTTGTTTGCAAGATTTTGTAAAGTAAACTTGTCGAACGCAAAAAAATTCAACCTGATTTTTTTTTCCAGGCCTAATTAATCTTACGGTGATCAAGAGCCATTATGGCTCTTAAATGTGATCGAAGATGATTGCTATTTTTTGGGTGTACATATGAGGTTATCAACTCGATGTAAGATTTTGTTCACTCTTGGGCTGTTTGCAAATTATTTTTCTCTAAAATCACTTAGCCTTTCCCTCACATGAATGTGCTATGTGCTCTAAAGTTAACTGAATTGTGGAATTCAAGTTTATTTTTTGATTTAAATTATGAATATATAATGGGAGCCTCGCTTTTAGCCCTGGCTAAATCTATATATTTGATTTCCTAATGTCTTTGAACATTCAGTAATATCTTTTACGGTACATGTTGGCATATTCTAAAAAAAAAATTAAATGATTAGAGAGTAGCCGCACAAGACACATTTTCACAGCATTTTGTTGGAAATACCGTATTGTGCCCTCGGGCTGGCGCTAAAAGTCAGCTCGAAATTCGACAAATGTGTTTTATACCAATATAAACTTGCTGCAAATCGGCAGAGTGTTTTTTCTAAATTTGCATGAAATTGAGGATTAGAAGATTTTTTACTTAGACTTGATCAACTAAAATACAGGTTGTTGAGGTGTAAAAGCTCCCTTAAAACGTGTCGAACATTTTAACTAAATATATAACTCTTTGATCGCTCAACAACTTTAAGCTTATTTCTCACTTGTTGTATGGTTTTTTTGAATACCGGTATTCTTAAGCTATAAATTACTGGATTGACAAGGGAATTGGTGATAAGTGGCATTGTGAAAATGTGAATCACAAAATGAGGAAACAGACGTGGAAACCAAACACTGATATTGTACCATGTCAGGCTAGGAACCCATAAGGCAACAGATGCTCCTATCACGATGAAAAGAGTCTTGGAGAGTTTTGTATTTTGTTCAACACTTACTCTGCTTTGTGTTTTGTCGAAAGCAGGAGCTCTATTGTTAATTCTTTTCCTGATAAACAGGTAAGACACACAAATCGTAAACAAGGAGGAACCGATGATGACCGCCGCACCAACCGCGAAATACGTTAAATTACAGATTCCAAGGAAAGCAATAAAACTGCCCATAGCTATCCCAGTTAACCATGCGATAACCACACTGTAAATGTAAACCTTAGTGCTTGTTACACGATGACGAAGCGGCCAGATCAAGGCAAAGGCTCGTTCCAGAGAAATCAGAACGAGAAAAAATACAGATGCGGAGGAGGATAAGATTTGAAAAGAAGGTGTAACGCTTTCATTGACTCCTTGGATTGTTTTGTTTGAGTCGATTTGATCTGGTAAAGTCCACCCACCAGCGACCTCTATTATTTCGGTGAGCCCAGTAAAGAGGTCCGCCACAGCCATGTTGATAACTAGAAAGCTTGTTCGCGTTAGTTTCTTTCGATGAACCCAGAAAACAAACACAGTGAAAGTGTTAGAAATAAAAACAAAGACGGATAGAAGACCAAGAAGGCACAAAACTACAATGGCTGCCGTATCATTTGTCATAACGACAGGGATAAAGTTACATGTCTGAGTTTCTTTTTTCGGAGAAGATTATAATCCGCATGAGAGCCTACCGGTGTGATAACGTTACCTGAACTACCTTGGCTTGAAAAAGCCCTTCATATTAACACAATGTACCAAAAGAGCTTTATGAAAGATAATGAATTATTGAACACCAAGTCAATTTAATTTGAGAGACTGATTCACATATCTCACTTCAACACAAAAGGAAGAAGAACAAGATGATGATGAAGAACTGAAGGCATTTATTTTGACACGAACGATAAAAGCTAACAAGCCTGTGGGGTTGAGTGTAAATTAAGGAAATCTATTATCTATAGAAGAAAATAAACAAAAAATAAAACAGCTAACATCAGATATGTACAATGTTTACAGTACGAAACGATCAAATGTAAGAAAATTATCATTTCAATACTGGACATGTGAAGCTAAAATAAGGTTGAAAAAATAAATTATTAACAAGGAATCCATCAGGAAATTGAGTAATTTTAATTTTCAGTGGACACAAACCTTGTACCAGAATAATTAAAACAATATCGCATTCTTTTTTACACTTTTCAAGGGCTACAGAATGTAATTAGGTTTCTGTAATAACACCGAAGAAAATTTCCAATGGGAGCCCGAGAAAATTTAACGAATGTCAGATTTCACAAAATGACATCTTACACATGAAATTTTCAGAATTTTACCTGTGTTTTTACAATTCTTGTGAAATTTGACACTTAATTTTCTCGGGCTCCCATTAGAAAAAGTCGGTGTTATTATAGATAGAATTGTATCTACAGCCCTTGAAAAAAGTAAAAAAAGAATGCGATATTGTTTAAATCATTCCGGTTCAAGGTTTTGTCTACTCAAAGTTGAAATTACTCAATTTCCTGATGGATTCCGTTTTAACAAGTGAATCCAGTTTCTTTTTCTTCGCAAAATTCTTGTCTTTAAAAGAAGTCAAAGAAAAGATGCGTAGTACTATAATTTAACAAGCAAGCAAGCAAGAACAAGAACAATAAAATTACTGACTAATCATAATAAAACACAAAACATCGAGGGAAAATTTGAATTGTTTTTCTTTTCTGTTTTTATAAATATGGGCTAACATTCTACCATCCTACATCCACAAATCCCAGGTTTTATCAATTGATGGTTTAAATAAAATATTTCTTCAATCATTTATAAGAAGAGGAAAATAATTTCCTCGTTTGCCTAACCTGGCCTAAGTTGATGGTAAGAAAATGAAATTACAAAGAAATATTACAAACGCACCGCTCTGGTTTTTTCTTTAAATAATCTATGCTTATCAATTCTGACTGGCTTAGGGTTACGCGATTGGACTTTTCATGGCTTCCAAGTTTGAGTAGTAACTAACAAAGATATCTCGGTCGTCCGCAGTTCAAATCCTCGGTCACACTTGTAAATAGCCAATTGGTGCAGCCTCCCGCCAGTTGGAATTTTTAGTAGAGAGCTTTAGATTCTAAGACGAGTACGACCACGAGTACGAGATTTTCTCAATACTAAGTAGTGTACGCGCGTGAACCAGCGTCATTTTGGCGGGAAAACGTGGTAGCCGTCGTCATTCTACTACGAGTTTTCGCGCAAATGTTGAGGTGGCGAAAACAAGATATCAAATTTAAAAGTTGTATCATTTTGCGATCAAGAGAGCGCGTAACCTGCTTCACTAAAAATTACAATGCTAACTTTTCTAGTGAAAAATGGTAAAATGAAGCTTTCCGGGAAGTCTACATTTTGAGAAGACGCGAAAAAACTTTAAGTACAATCTCGTACTCGTAGCCGTCCTGGTCCTCGAATCTAAAGGACTCTATTCCTGTTATGTTCTATTTGCATCATTTGTTTCAGAATTATTTGAGTGGAGTGCCTGTAAACTAGCTGGATAAGCTAAGTGCACTTTCCACTATAAACAAACCTTTAATTTTTTTTTGGCTCTAATACTCTGGCTCTAATTAATTTACCGTGTACGTTTTCGCTCGCTTGACAAGTTTTATCTTGTCTCTCAATTGTTCATAGCTTCTCCTGAATATTGGCATTTTTAAACTATAAATGACTGGATTAACAAGAGAATTAGTCAAATGTACCATTGTGGAAAGGTGAGCAACAAAATGAGGAAATAGGCTTGGAAACCATAGACTGACATTGTACCATGTAACGCTAGGAACCCACAAAGCAGGAGATACACCGATCGTGATAAAAAGAGTCTGTTATGCTCTGAGTCGATAGCAGGAGTTCTGTTGTTTATTTTTTTCCTGATGGACAGGTAAGACACACGAATCATAATCAAGGAGAAACCAATGATGATTGTTGCAGCAACTGCAAAACACTTCACTTGTTATTTTCTAACCACAGCAAGGAAACTGAATACACCTATAGTTATCCCAGCAAGCCACGCTATAACCACGCGATAGGTGTAGACCTTTCTGCTTGTTACACGATGTCGAAGCGGCCAAATCAAAGCAAAGGTTCGTTCCAGGGAAATCAGCACGAGAAAAAACACAGATGCACACGAGAAAGATGCTACAAAAGGGGTTACAATGCTACCTTTCATCTCCGTAATAGTTTCGTTTGACCCGATATGTCTTGGAAGAGCAAATGCTCCGACCTCTACAGTATCTGTGAGTGCAATAAGGAGATCCGCCACAGCCAAGTTAATAACAAGAAAGCTTGTTCGTTTCAATTTACTTTTATGGACCCAGAAAACAAACACGGTGAAGGTGTTAGAAATACAAAAACCTTTGCCTTTGGCTTTCACGGTGTGTCAGAATTCAACATTCGTTATTTTAAATGGCTACCAGCCGTTAGAAAATCTCAATCTTTAATCTCAAAGTGAAATTTTGACTCCAGTACTGCAATCTCTTTGTAAATGAAATTCATTCCTAAATTATGAGCGGAACGCGCTGATCAAAAACATGTCAACAACAGGAGCCGATTAGTGTCGGCTCCTGGCACTAATTACTCTAATGGCTGTCAAACTTGAAATGTTTGGCAGCGAAACATGTCACGTTCACGTGAAAGTAGACCACGCGGGTCACGGAAACAACAAAAATAACCTACGCAGCACGCGCGCGAACTTTAAATAGCTTTAAAAAAATTATCACGGGGCACAGGGATTCGCTCTCTTAGCTCATTCTCTCTTGGTTTACAATGTTTGAAAAATCTAGCATGGCTTTTAAGGTTTACAATCAATATGCTAAGTAACATAATTTCTAATGAAATTAAAATTTGTGAAACGGTGTAATTATAAATACTAAATTAAGCAGCAGACACTACCAAAAATTTAAACGGCGAAGCCAAAGGGTCATGTAGCAGCTGCTCTGAAGAGAAGTCACCAATGGTGCCTAACCCCGGCCCCAAACAATACTAAAACAATGGAAAGAATGTCATTTTTCCTATAAGCAATTAGGAGAGACCTTCCGAGCAGCTCCTATACTACCCAAGCCAAATTTTGAAATGAAATTTGAACAGGATTTTTTTTTAATTAAATGTGTTACTACACCACCCTTAACTTATTTCTTTTCCTTTTTTAACCAAAGTACCTATAGTTTTCAAGAGAAATCTACCTTTGAACATAAATGAAAAAATCTGCCCATAGAATGATAAATCATGTTAAAATGATCAGGAAAAGAGTGAACTTTTATTTTCCTAAAAAAGGGTATTGTTTTCTGCTCATTAATCGATTCAAAAGATTTCATGACTGATATGAAATTCACTTGCAGATAAGGGATATTGAACTTCATTGTATTTAAGATGAGATCCATTAGGAAATTGAGTAGTTTTAATTTTCAGTTGACAAAAACCTTGTACCAGAATAATCCCAAGCATATTGCATTTTTTCACACTTTTCAAGGGCTATAAATGTAATTATAAGTTGTATAATAAAACTCCGAAAAAAAGGTTCTTTATATTGGAGCCCGAAAAAACGTAAAACAAACTTCAAAAGCCTCAAATTTTACAAAATGAGGTGTTAGCAAAGACGAATTTACCTGTACTGTGTTTTCTCAATTTGTATGAAATTTGATCATGAAATTCATTTTCTCAAGATCCCGTTAGAAATTGTCTTTGGTGTTTTTACAGATAACTAATTACATCTGTAGCCCTTGACAAATTTAAAAAAGAATGTGATATATTTTTCTTTTTTCTGGTGCAAGCCTTTTGTCCACTGAAAATTAATATAACTCAATTTCCTAATGGGTTTCTTCTCAGTATTTTTGAACCCGTGTTAATAATATATTTTACCATGACATATCCGCAACTTTTATTTATTTTAGGTTTTAACCATGGTTTGTTCACATAATATTTCCTTCATTTTTAATAGAAAAGGGGAATTTTTTTAACCTTTTTCCCGCTTTCTGGATAAAACGCTTTCTTTAAAACTACATTGTAAAAAGATCGGGGACATATGAGTAACGGTGAGACAAGAAATTAAAAAAAACGATTTTGTTTTATCGCACATCGTTCTTGGTTATTTTGTTAAACGCTATAAATATAAGTAGATATTTCTCTTTTTATTTCGTTCAAACAATGTTAGCCTTTTACTTCGGCTTGAATTCTATTGCTATTATTTTTCAAAAAGGTATGAGTCAATCTCTAACCCCCAAAATAATGTTAAAATATTTTGAAGTCTAAATGCGGCGGCGACTCTGCCGATGACAATGTTGAAGTCAAATTTTAGACAAAAATCTCAAGCGGTTCATAAAGAGAAAAGAAAACAATGAACAATGACACTTAAAAAATTCGAGAAAACTTAAAAGACGCTTTAAGGATCATCTCCTGCTTTTATATTAAAAATGAAATGAAGAAAATCCTGTCGTCATCATTCTACGCCGAACTTTTCATGAGCCGAACCTAACTCGGAATAAGGCCGACCCAAGTTATTTAGACCAGCTGAATCGATTCAGGCGCCGATCTTAATTACAGCAGAACTAGGGAGTTCAGCAAAAGGCAAAACTACAGTAGACAAAATACGATTTAATAATTTATGCTTTAGGTTTTTTACATGAAAAGTTCTGCTTTCTGAATCAAAGCCTTTCCAAGGTCGCTCCAAAGGCTAAATTCCCGGCCGGGCAAGGCGAAAAGAGCGGCTGAGCCGTGTGAAATTGAAATAGGGCTTTGTTCCTATTATACAGACGCCGAACTTTTCATGAACTTAATTCAATGTATTACGTTAACGTTCGACTCATGAAAAGTTCGACCTGAACCGCGCCCAGATTTCATTTTGCAAGTGTTAGTAAGTAAGTAAGTAAAGACTTTATTTTATGAGGGTTAGCACGAAATAGCCGAGGCTAATAAACTTGTGGCCCTCTAAATAATAAATAATAAAATAATAAATGAGTATACTAAGCTATGAAAAAATACAAGATTAAAACCAATTAAGAATACAGGTACTATAGAATCTACTAAATTATTTAAAAGATAAAATATAGCGTTATAATAATCTCACAGTTCATCAGGTAACTTAAATAGAAAAATGATCAAGATTCTGCTGTTGTTTAAAAAATTCATTCCACAATGCTTTTTTTAAAGAGTCAACTGAGTCCCTTTGCCTTACAGGCAAAGATAAGCTGTTCCACGCTTTGCAAGTTGTTACGGTAAAAGTTCTGCCTCCTTCTGTTTCGCGATTATACCTCGGAGAGGTTAGGTTAAAATTACAGTACCTGGTTTTTCTACTGTGGATGTTACTGTTTAATTTAAGTAGATCGTTGAGATAAACAGGGACGTCACCTTGTAATCGCTTATAAGCAATGATACATTTGGATATGAAAGCGTCTGTATAATAAGGCAACCATTTCAGCCGATTAAACAAGGGAACTGATGGTGCTTGAGGGGGGGCATTCAGGATTACTGTAGCTGCTCGTTTTTGGAGCTTCAGGACCCGCCCAAGGCTTTCCTTATCACAATTAGTCCAAAGGACGCTTGCATAATTAATCACTGGCCTGATCAAAGCATTGTAATAAAGTAATCTTTGTTTAAGGGGCAGATAATTCATAATTTTCTTTAACAAGCCGATGCGCTGTGAAACTTTCTTACAAACAGTCGTAATATGCTCAGAGAAAGATAGCTCTTCATCAATCTCAAGACCTAGTAGCTTAACGTTCATAACGTTAGTTAATAAACTGCCATTGCAAGTAATCTCAGGGTTATTGTTTATTTTGGTCGAGAGTCGCTTTCTCTTCACGGTGAGGACCTTGGTCTTTTTTTTCGTTGAGTGGAAGCCTGTTGGCCAAAGCCCAGTTAAAAACTTCTGATACAGATGTATTAAGAGATTCCTGCAGTCTTCCCATCCTGCCACAATCTGCTGACGATGTGATTGTAGTATCGTCTGCATAAAGATCGATTTCAGAGGAGCTGACATGAAGTGGCAGGTCATTAATAAAAACTGTGAAAAACAAGGGGCCGAGTATACTGCCCTGGGGGATCCCATGTTTCATAAGCGCCACTTCTGAGACGCAACCACCCAAATGGACAAGCTGGTGTCTGTCCGCCAAATAAGACTGGAACCACTTCATTGTTTCGCCAGCAACACCATATACTTTCAGCTTATCCAGAAGAAGACCATGATCTACCATGTCAAAGGCTTTACAGTAGTCTACTAGCACCACGCCACTAACTCTATTCTTATCTAAATTGAAGAGCAATTCGTCAATTATCTGTATGAGAGCGGTGTCTGTACTGTGATTCTTCCGAAAACCAGACTGGCGAGGATAAATCAGATTGTTTTCAGTTAGATAACTGTATAAGGAGTCATGCACATGTCTCTCGATAACTTTAGAAAGGACAGGTAGCACAGATATTGGTCGAAAATTCTGAACGTTGATCTCAGATTACAAAGCTTGGTCGCTACTGAATGTATATTTCTTCGATGTCTTGTGAATGTTTAACTTGTTTCCGAGTTGTTTCAAAGTCTTCCTGAATACCACCATTCTAAAGCTATAAATCATTGGATTAACAAGAGAATTTGTCGCATGCAACATAAATAAAATGAAAGTAACAAACCTTGGAAACAAATTTGGTACTAAAGTTTTGATGGTGTACAATGTCATGCTTGGTGCCCAAAAAGCAATGGACGCGCCTATCACAAAAAAGATAGTCTTGGAGACTTTTATGTTTTGTTTCATGCGTTTTCTGGAGTCTGCTTTATCGATAGCAGGATCAGTTCGGGCTGTAAAGTTTTTTTCGGATTGACAGATAACACAAGCAAATGATAAATAACGACAAAACAATGACGACCGAGTAGGCGATTACAAAATTGGTTACAACAAAAATCCCATACACGGTTAGCCAACTAAAAGCACCAATTGCTATCCCAGCGAACCAAACGATAATCACACTGTAAATGTAAACCTTGATGCTTGTTACACGATGCCGAAGCGGCCAGATCAAAGCGAAGGCTCGTTCCAGAGAAATTAGTACGAGAAAAAACACAGACGAACCCGAAACCACGGCCAAAAATGATGTTGAGATCCAAACATAATCACTTTTACTTATGATTAATCCGAGGAGTACTGTTTGTGCAATCCCCACAAGAAGGTCAGCAACGGTCAAGTAAATAACAAGAAGAAAAGTCCGCTTTAATTTAATGCGATGAATCCAGAAAACAAATACAGTAAAGGTGTTGGCGATGATAATGAATCCAGACAGGACAAGAAGAATGATCAAAATCGCTATCGTTGTCGCATCAGACATGGCAAGATAAAAGTGTTTAGTAAAGGTAATATTGTTGACCTGACAGTATTGAAAGAATCTCTCCTTACAGACCGTTATGAAACAATGATCAGAGTAAAAAGTAACTCTAAAAGGTTGAAACGTGTAATTGATGTTGGTAAATATTCATTTTCGCCAGTACCATATTTGGATCGTGAAGAAAGGATAACGGACCAATCAAATTCGGAAAAAAAGGCAGCACTAAATGCCTCATGAATCCTGGGAAGAATGAACAATCAAGAAAATGGGGAAAATCAGCGAAAGGTTGAGTTATAACGTGCATATGAAATAACCATCAAAGAACTCTGCGATGCCAGGACATTACAGCGGTCGTGCAGCATTCGAGCTACTCGTCTCATCGAAATAAGCTAACACGCACTTCGCATTTTCTTATTAACTTGGCTGTAGCGGATCTGCTCATCTGCTTCACAGAACCAGCAACGATCGGAACAGTTGGAATACCACAGCGATTTGGCCACGAATACTACGGAATGAATCAGCAGCATTTCAAGCTATATGCGTGACCACTTTAAATTTGCAATTGTGGTCTGTCTCGTTCTTATTTCGTTGGAACGAGCGTTTACATTGGTTTGTTATTATTAACCCAATATTATAGAGACGGAAGGAATTGACAAGTAAATTTCAGGTTGTTTTTTCGTTCTGCTATCAGTTGAACAGTTATTTGATGGGTAATCAGTACAATTAGTGCTTTTCTTTCTTAAGAAATTTTAAGTACTTACACAATAAAAATTTCATATACAAAGTGGAAAGTATCAACACAGCAGCGCAGCAGTAGATTACGAGTAGAGGAATCGTCCTAAGTAAGGGAATCAGAATTTCGGAAACCCGAAAATTTTTGCCTGTTGAATCCGGAATCTTGGAAATTTTTGCTTGTGGAATCCAGAATCCTGGACTTTGGAACCCAGAATATAGCCGTAGGAATCCGGAATCCAAGTTCCAATAAAAAGGTCTGGAATCCAGTAATTGGAATCCCGAATCCACGGCGTGGAATCCAGAATCCCTGAGACTGTCTGGGTGCAGCTCAGGGTGCAGTATTTTTGACCTTGGTCATAGTTAAATTTTTACTGTTGATACCGTAATCGCCTTTTTTTTTACTCAAGTATCGAGCAAAACGTCACATACGATTGTATTACAAACCCGGCAAAACATTATACAATGACCCGGGAAACCGTTGAAGGAAATGATTGCGGACGAATAACAGCGTCTCGGAAAGCTTCGCTTTCCAAATGGGCCACCCTTCGGACGACCTTCGTTCTCACCGAGCATTGGGTAATACTGATTTTACCAGGTTTGTAACACGATCGCACGACAGTTTCATCGGACAAATTGTTACTCGATTACACAGTAAACACAGCGGGTGTTACTAAACAGAGTAACGCAGTAACCACCACTTTGAAATATTAAAGTAGCCACGTGGATCCTACCAAAAAAGAGTTAATTTCATGCCCTGATAGTAACTATGATTCAGTTATTCTGAATTGATTGATGTTAAACGCAACTTCGAACAAACCAGTCCATTTGAATTTTTCTTTACTTCAGCTTTACTTTAATCGACAATCTATCTAAAAACTAGTCTCGCTCTGCATTTCTATTTTGCCGCCTTAATTCAAATTTCAGAATCTTTACATCGGTAGGTTATTTTTAAACATGATTTATAATGCCTTTTAAAACGGTGGGAACATTCACTTTAATTAACTTTTGGAAGGTAGTATTAGTAAGTCGAATCCCGAATTTTCGAGGAGTTAAGAGACATTTAAAGTTGAGCAGGAAAGGTTGTAACCCTGGGAGTAATAAGCGAGAAGACCGTTTCTAAGCCTTGGCAATTCAATCGAGTACTTGGTTACTTGATAACCGTAATAAGGACCCAACAAGGTTCTAATTATTTTGATTTACCTGACAGAGTTATTTCTAATAAGAAATGAAATAATTTTGGCAGTAAGAAAGAAAATCTGTAGCTTGCCTTCCTCTGATGGTTGCTCCTCGGGGATTAGGTGACTTTTCGGCGTGAAAATACCTTCGACTTTGCTGGAGGGAGGGGTGGGGGCGGTTGACGTCGTTTTTGGAGTACACATATTTTTCGAGATTGGTAAAGGTCATTATTACGAAATTACAACCATTTTTACGTTTTTTCGTCCATTAGGAGTTATTTTCTTATTTTCTTTTTAACCTCTTGAATTTTTATCCCGTTACTCGTTACTGCGTTACTCTGTTTAGTAACACCCAAACATAGCCTCCTACGCAGACGTTCTTAGGGGTTCGTCACGCGTTCAAGTAAGCAAAAATAACTCCTCTGCGCCCTGTGCTGTTTGCTCGCATTTGATTTACTGATTTCAACTTTATGAATCTTGATGATCCTCCCGAAAAAGGGTGTATTTGTTAACAGCTGATAACAGCAATACCTGTAAAATTATAATTAGCAGGATCTTGATTTTTTAAAAGACAGAATTATTTAATGACAATAATATAGATTACCTTCATAGCCTTAAGCAGTTTTTGTAATTAAACAGTACAAACGCAATAAAGATTTACTTTTACTGTTACAAGGATTGGCGTTTCCTTCATTCTGAAATAAAAGGTTTAGATTTTGTAATTACCAAACGCCTTTGGGAGAGAAAGGGCGGTTAACAAACGGTGTAATCTTCAAGATAAGGCCAGTGGGAAAACCCCCCAAAGTGGTGGTCGATTCATAGAAATATCTTTTGAAGAAGACACTTACTGAAAAAGCGCGATATCTCATTCAACCGATCAGTGTATTAACCCTCACTATATATAAGTACCCGTCAGCAACTGTTGCATGATGTGTTAGCGAAAACAAGACAATCACAACATCATTCGTGTTCATGTCTCTGGGCGTTCAAAATCAGATTGGTTTTTTCAGTTAAATCTGAGTGTTCCATAAAACAACAACTTTAGAATAATAAGAACTACCAACACGCCCCGAGCGTCTAGGTTCAGGACTATAGCTATCTTCAGGTCCAACCGTAAACCGCTTCGGCCTGCAAGCAAGCATATCGTGTGAGAGGTACATGTAGAAGCGCGAACGCGAGAAGAGACCGCCGGGGGAGGGGAGGGTAGGGATGGGGTTGTTACAATGGTATTACAATTAGGTAAATTTAAGTCGAAAAGAATTCATAGATGGAAGGTGTAAATAGTGGGTCGAGTCACCCAAAGTACATAAACAGGCAAAGTGTCTTTTGTAATTGAATATATTAAAAGTTAATAATAGGTGACCTTAGGCCATTCCATAACTTTTAACGTAAATTCAGCTTGAACGTCGTATTTGCCTTTTATCGAGGGAATATAATACATCTATCATAACTGAAAGTTCGGTCATCAATGGTGGCAAGACCCTTAAAATCGTAATGACCATTTTCGAAAAGGAACTAATAGGCTTAGTCTGGTAACCTGATGCGTTAAATGATGTCGTATCTAAAAATTACAATGACAGAAAAATAAAAGTTAGTAGACTAAATGTTTATCGAGAAAAGTCGCTGAAAATAGTCATTGGATTGGTAGCTATTCCTTTTATTATCAGCGACAGTATTATATATTTTACCCACCAGTCCCGTAATAAGCACAAATACCACCCCAATCCATGCCGCGACTCGGAACTTCAATTTGATCAAGGATGTTTCGCCTAAAAAATTGAATTGAATTCCTAAAGAAGACCATTCTGAACGTGACTCAGGATTAGATGGACTCCAAATGAGGACGATGCTCCAACTGAGAGTATTTTTTTTTAAATATTATAATTTAGATAATTCTTTGCTTACAACCGTAAGCAATATAGGATCAACTTATCTTCTCTTTTCTTAAGCGATGCCGTTACGGACAAAAATATTGGCTTTCCGTCCTGAACACGCTGAGTGAGACCAAAATCTGCAGTTTTTCCCACTATGAGAGCCTCCCCGTCACTCTGATGGGAACTCCCCCGGCAATGGATCACGGTTTCTGAGTCCTGCTTTTGACTCAGTACAGTAAAACCACTATTAAGCGCACTCCCAATTAGCGGACACCCTCTATTAAGCGGGCACTAAGCTGCGTCCCGAAATTAAGGTCTTATACTTCTCTTTATAACGAACACCTATTCGGCGGACACTAAAATGAATGTATTTGGCTGATTTCTATTGTTAAAACCCCAAGCGGACACCTCGCTGAATTGACAATAGTACGGTATTGGATTACGTCCTTCCTATGATTGTCATTCGCGATCAAAGTTCACCTAGAAGTCTTGCACAAAGTACAGCACAGCTTCCTTAGCTTCCTTAACAACATAGAACTAATTGATCACAGTACATAGTTACCGTTGAATGTTAATCGTTACCAAACAATAAACCAACGCAAAAAATAAATTGGAAACCGTCCTTGGAAGAAGCCAAGAAAATGAAATGTTATTAAAGACTTATATGTAATCAATTTTTCCAAGTCTCAGGTCTTTGTGGCCCACAGTTCCTGAGTTATTTGCCAAAACGTTTCACGCACATTTTGTAGAGCTTTGTATGGAGACGCCATTGATGTACAGTTTTGGTGCACCAATATGGCCGCCAGAAATCAAAAAAAACATCCGGAGTTCACTTTTTCTATAAAACCTCTTTCTTTTCAATCGAGAGCTTGCATACGTGCACATAAAAACACCTTCTAATACTTGAAAAGGTTAAACTGCTCAATCAGAAAGATAGATTTTATTTCAGCGAGACAGCATTCCTATTTTGGTGTCACGCACTGTGAAAACTCGGAAATTCAGATTGCTGTATTTCCGAAATGAAATGTGCTATGGGGCTGGAAACTTGTTCAAAGATTTATTTTTTGTTTATAAGAATTCGTAAAACCTCGTTGCTTTGACTTTACAATTTGATGACGTCACGGTGAAAACTATATATTACTGTTGGAATTATCATTTTATTGTTTTTCCTGCGAGCGTTTCTTACGTCAGCTGGCACATTGATTTGAAGTAAGATCTCGTGATCTGAAATTCGATCTTTGTTAAATACAAACTGGATAAAAACACGAGAAGTAGCAGAACATTTGATTTAAGAATATTCATTCTGAAGTAATAAGAAGCATGTCTGCAATTATATCAGCTGTATTTAAAGCCACCATCGGCTTGATTGTGAATAAAGGAAGAGATGTAGCGGCGGAGAGGATGAAAGAAGGTGACGTGGCTGATCAGAAATTTCGCAGCCTCATCGTGCGTGAGTTGAAAGAGATCCACTACAAGTTGCAGGGGCACCCAACGAGGATATAGTTCAAAACCACTTAACATCGCATTGTTGGACGTATTTTAGTATTCAAACGGTAGATATAGGCATATTTTTATCCCCTAAAAACTTTTCATCTGTTCGGATTTCCTAGCTGAAAATCCAGTGATCCGAAAATTATAGGGATAAAAACTTACCTTCTCGAAAATTTCAGCCCCGAAAAGGCTCCCGAAAATTCTAGGTGGCCTTTTTTAGGGCAAAAATCCGTTAAAAATGAGTAATTATACCATTTTGTAGGTGTTCGAAAATCCTAGGAGAGGCAGGCAAGCAAGAAATTTTACAACAAATGCTCCGAAAATTCTAGATCTCAAATCGTCTTCCGAACAGATATTTTCCCGAAAATTGCCGTTGGGTGCCCCTGAAGTTGGATGCGTTATCACAAAAGGATCTTAATGCAGCTATAGACTTCTTTGAAACAGGACTCGGATGTCTATACAAGGCAGTCGATACAATGCACAGTGCTAATGTTAGTTTGGGAGCAGCGAAGGTATCTGAAAGAAATGAAGAAGATGACTTTAAACAAGTAACTTTGCCCTCGGACACTGACCCTGAAAAGACATTAGTCCTTGCAGATGGAATAAGAAACATGCAACTAACTGAGTTGGACGAAACAACGAAAAGTCTGCTTTCTGACGCACTAGAGAAATTCAGATTAGCTGTTGAAGACGCGACACACGCCAGTAACAATGAAGCCCTCAGCATTTTTGACCGAATCACAGCCATTCGATATCGTGTTATGGCGGCTATGTTAAAGTCAGCAGCTGAGACAGTGAGAACCACTGGCGACTTGACAAATACTTTGCAGAAAGCATTACCAGAGTGCGAACAGTGCCTGAAGAAACTCAATTCGTTACCTGCTGTTCAGAACAGCTTTAAAGTGGAGCTCAGTAAAGGTCTCCTAAACATAAGAGGTCAATTTGGTAAAGATGAACGGATGCAGATAATCTCTACTGTATGTCAGGTAAATCGCACCATCTACGATGCCATGCGAACGGTTGGTAAAGACGTACATGTCTTGGCGTGGCCATATATTGACACCGGAGAAGATAAAGTTGACCCTCTTCGCGATGTAAGAGTGTTACAAGTGTTGGAGAAATCAGAGAAAGTTGACATGGAGCACTACCGCATTACACCGGGGTTGTCGTTTGATATGCCAGGCATCCACTGTGCTACTAACACCGTGGGACAGTTTCTGATTGCAGGAGAGCGCGGGGAAACCGTGCATGTTTTCGATAAAAATGGTATGTTTCAGTTTAGGTTTAGGCCCCAAACTGATGATGCTAAAACAAAGATTCAAATTCGTGATCTCGTCACTGAAGACGTTAGCGAGAAGATCTATTTACTGATCGGACTGTACAATGAAGAACGATGGGAGTCAAGTGAAGTGCAGGTTTTAAACAAAACCGCTGACCTTCAGTACAAGTTTCCTGTGACACGCGAGAGTAGACTGGTAGTTAGCGGCAGCAAACTAGTAATACTGGGATCAAGGGAGGCTGACGTTTACGATCAGAATGGTGAGTTTGATCGTAGTTTTGAGGTTTTCAATAGTGGACGCGACAAGTATTTATTTGATTGCACTGCTACTTACGATGGTCGCATCATGATAACTCACCGTAAAAGAGACTACAGCGATTACCACTGTGTTCATGTATTCACAATGGAGGGAAAGGAGATTGCAAGATTCAGATCTGGCGTCGGATTAGATTTAGCCTTCATGCGCTTTTCACCTCGCTCTGCAGGTGAACATGTTGTCATCGCTGGTTACAATATAGAGGATGGGATCATAACAGTGGAGTTATACACTGTGGATGGAAAACTAGTGCGAAGAATTCTGCTGCGTAATAAAAGTAGATCTTTTTTAGATGGAATTACGGTGACCATGGAAGGACACATCGCTGTGTTTTTTGGTGGAAAGGCCGTTGTATACAAAAACTAAAAGACGCGGCTTTTTGCCTTGACAAATATTGTGAGGAATTTCATACAAAACAACTGAGTTACAGCACAAATCATAACTATAACAAAATTCTCAAATCTGATTGACTATCAACTGCCCTGATTTTAGCGTTAATAGGACAGTACGCATCATTCCTAAGTAATTGGACAGTACGCGCCATCACCCGCGCGCTTAACTGGATTTTTTTTACTGGTAGCAAAAAAAAAATCTTAGAATTTCTTGTTTTTTGATTATACAAAGAGCCTTTTAAATCAAAAATTTTGTTAAAGTTATGATTAATTTGTAACAGAACTTCGTGTCGTTTAATTCGGTCTACAATCATACTCTTGATTATACAAATCGGGCTCCCGCTACGCGGTCATCCGATTTGGTTAATCACGAGTATGATTACAGACCGAACTGGACTCCACTCAGTCCTGTTACCATTACTAACAAGCTTTTTCTTTTCAGAAATATCATATCTCTATTATATATTTTATGAAATCTATTAGGCACAGGTTAACACTGTTAATTGATACTTTTGGAACTGTCAAAAAAAAACTTTAACGTTGTAATAAGTTTTTCATGCCGGGGAAAATTATAAAGCCAAAGACGTTTTAATCTCTAGAATCCTTTAAAATTTCAAACGATGTAATAATATTTTATTCATCAGTTGGGATTTTTGCTTAAAAAGAATGGAGTATGGCCCGGCCACCAAAATCCGTTGAACTAGTCAAGCATTTACAGCAGATTCCTTTTTTCCTTGACGGCTATCCTTTCCATGCTCATCTTATTTCGCGAACATGAATAGTACACTTCCTTTAACGTGAGGTTAACTTTCTGGCTATACTAAAAATTTCGCATGTCTCAGATCAGATGCTAACAAAGTTGCAAACACAAAAAATTGGTGATTACCGGTACAAAATTTTCCAATTGTTTCCAAACGCCAAAGTCTATTTTTCGTCATACTGCGAACAGGGCCCAATACTCGAACTTATTGTGCACTAATTCCGATGAGCACATTCGCTTTTATATCGGGCTGAAGCCGGATGTGAACTTATACCTGTTAAAAAATATATACAGCTGTAGCTAACTGTTGGTTTTAATTTGTTAATGAATCACTTCCAGTAAGTTTGACTTTGTTTCTTTGGAAAACGAGAAAAATCGTGGATGAGACCTCGTGACTACCGAAACCCTGCGGCTTAGCATTCTCGCCAAGCCAAATTGGTTTACTGAATGGGTCAAACATTTGAGCTCGGAGGAATAATTTCCATGCTCTGCTATATTTAAGACCATGATCTTTAGATACTCAGACAAGTTTTCCTGGGGAAAGATATCTCATAAAGTTACCTTCAACAGACTCCTGCTTGATAGGACTGATTTTGAACTGCAACCCCTTAATTTATTATTCATCCAAAATATATGCGCCCTTTTCTGATTGGCTTAAAGGCCAACTGGTGCTTACCGTATTTGGAAGATGCGAGCAACATATCATCGATTCGATGGTATACATTTCATTGGAAACGAGGGAAATAGACCATCGATCAACCTCGTTTTCCATGCGCGGCCGACTAGCTGTTATTCACGAGTGAACTAAAAAATGGCGTTCACGGCTATCCGAAGATGAAGTAGCTGAATTTCTAACTAAAACTGCACGGAATAAATGCAAAAATATACAAAATATATCGCTCGTGGATAACATCCTCCTTGATCTGCATGATTCTTTACATCCTACTCAGCCTCATTCAATAATTGCTAAATATGTAATAATCGAACACTCTTAAATGGCTCTGGTGTGTTGTCTCCCCTTAGCTCGCTGGCAATTGAATAACATAGTAATTTTCTGTTTCCTCCAGTTTGATTTTCGCTGTAATATTGCATTTTCCATGTAATGTGTGATCAGTACAATAAGTGTATTCCTTTCCCACAAAACTAACGTTAGAGGTTTATAATACTAAACAAAGTTCATATACAAAGAACGGGGGCGCAGCTCTACGTTTAGGCGACAGAATGTGCTTAGTATAAGGAAAAAATCAGATCGGAATTGATCAGAATTGATTTAATGTAACACAAGAGCTCTTCGCTCGCTTTTGAATTAGTGATGTAAAATTTACTTTACGAATCTTAATGACCCATAGAAATGTTTTTGTTAACAGTAGATAACAGCAAACCTGTAAAGTCATAGGAAAATTTAGTGATTTTTGTAAATAAGAAAATAATAATAATGACAATATAGAGTAACGGGAACTTTAACACGTTCATTCTTATATAGTCCCAATTTTTTTGTAATTACCCATTTTTGTATAATTTACCCCTGTATTTAGCCTGCGTAGCAGGCGCTTGTAAGTAGTGGGAGAAAGAGAGAACAGGCGCGCGCGAGGGAGACACGCGAGGGGTGAGTCTCCTTCTCGCGCGCCCGTTTTTTCTTGCGCCCACTACTTCCAAGCGCCTGCTACACGGGCTACCCTGTATTCATTATTTAGTTCTGGTGGTTTTTTTGTTACAATAAAATAAGTACTGTACCTCACCTTTATTGTAAACAGACCAATACCTCCGTTTGAAGAGGCAATAAAGATTTAGTTTCTCTGTTAAAAGCGTTGCCTACAAACCTCCATAACATACCTGAGAAGATCGAGAAGGACGTGATTTGCACAGTACAGTGGGGTCCACACACGTCCAAGTGCTGTATTTTCTTTTTTTTTCAGCTGTGAGCTACGTTAAGAAACAATTGAGGTGCTGATGGCCCGGCTGCCTTTTTTTATACGGGTCGACCTCAGCCAGCAGATGTACCTTAGTTGTTTTCTTTCGTTAACCCTTACGAAGTTAGCCTGAATGGTCTAAATGTTCGCCGTGTCCTCGAGGTCGCACTACCCTAAGGCGGGATGTTACTAAAACGGGGAGCGGAAAACGGGGAACGGGGAACAAGAAAATGAAAAATGAGAACAAAACCTAACCCAACTTTAGGAGCTTTAGGAGGGCACATAAAGCGAAGGGGCTTATATCCTAGGGGCGTTCATTGGAATGTTCTTTTTGTTTACAGGTAGAGGGGCTTATAAATTTTTGGCAGGGAGTGGGGGGGAGGTATAAGTAGGGGCTTATAAGATGGATTTTAAAGTTTATATCTCACCTGATAGAAGAACTATCGTGTGTTACACCGAGTAATTCACATATTATCGCTCTTATGTCAACTTTTTTTTTCACTCCCTAGTCTAGAAGAAATAGTTTCTTGAAAAGATGTTACTTGTCGCATAATTTGTGGAAAACGTGCAATGAATTTGATTGCGATAACTGCTGTTTGGTGGCGAAACATGTCGCGTTCACGTGAAAGTAGACTGCGTGGGTCACGGAAATAGCAGGCAAAAGTAACCGCCGCTGAACGCTCGCGAACGTTAAATAGATTTCAAATAATTATCATGGGGTACAGGGATTTGCTCTCTTAGCTCATTCTTGATAAGTATCGGGCGCAGGTGATGATACATAAATTTTCCCTATTTCTAGTCGGCAGTTTTTATAAGGAGCAGTCAGTTTTTTTAACGAAAGCTTTTGTTTTGAAGCAAATAACAGATTGATGACGGAGCTAAAAGGACATTTTCGTGTTTTGTGATTTTAAAGGCCGAGCTAGGCCGGTGAATATCATGATAAAAGATTCGAAGATATCGTGGAATTTGAGCAGGTAGCTGTAATTCTCTTTCTGATAATACCGGTTTGGATTGTAAATTGCTTGGAGGCCGTTGCAAACAGGATAACCGATACCTGCTTTTCAGGTGAGGGTTGCGTTTGTCTATTTGGCCGCATTAAAGCCTGGGACAGGTATTAAGACTGAACAAGCAAGAGAATGCGACAAAAAATTAGGGAAAGATTGAGTTATAACGTGTACAATGATTAAGTGAGATGGCTAGCACTGCAGCTATCGTAATATGCAGTATTGCCGCATTTGAGTCACTTCTCATTCTAACTGCCAACACCTTCACTGTATACATTTTCTGGTCTCATCGAAACAAGCTAAAACGCACTTCGTTTTTGCTAATTAACTTGGCTGTAGCAGATTTGCTCATCGGATTCACAGAACCAGTAGCGATCGCAACAGTCGGAATACCACAGCGATTTGGCCAAGAATACTACGGGAATGTTTCAACCGCATTTCAAGCAATGTTCGCTGCCACTTCTGTCGTCTGCCTCGTTCTCATTTCCTTGGAACGAACGTTTGCATTGATTTGCCCATTTCGACATCGAGTGATAAGCACTCGAGCTTACATCCACAGTATCATTTTTGCATGGTTTTCAGGAATAACTGTGGGTCATTCACTTTGCTTGCTGTAAATCGAATAGTGGATTTTATCCATTGGATAGTAGCCTATTGCTGTATTTTAGCTTCATGTTTGCTGATCGACTATATGTGTTACTTATTTGATAGTCAGAAGAAAGGTTAAAACTTGTCGACTGGATCTTACAATGGTTAAAAATCACAGTGAAAACAGACCTAATGATGAGAAATATAGCACTAAACTTTCCAGGACTCTGTTTATTATGATAGCTGCATCTCTTGGTTTTTGGCTTCCAAGCACCGTAATTTTTTCTGTTCACAGCTTTTATTCCATAGATGTGTCCCAATACCTCTTATCTACGCTTCTACAGTATTACGCCTGGCCAATTCTCTCGTTAATCCTGTCATATACAGTTTTAGTTTGCCGATTTTTAGAGAAGCTGTAGGTAAATTAAAATTGAAAAAAGAAAAAAAAAAAAACAGTCCAAGGAATACGTAATTAGCTGGCATTCTTGAAATTTTCTTTTCTTTTATAATTATGTTAAATTTTCAAAAATGAGTAAAAAGAAAATGCCGGTCATGATAGTTCACTTACAGAACAAAAGAGTTTGCCTTTAATTTGTTCAGTTTTGCATTTTTGTTAAACCTCCAGTACATTTTATTATCAATAAAACAGGAGTTTCTTTGTGACTTGAAATCTGAAGAGTATTTTAAAAAATCTTAATCATAAACGTACTTG